TTTTCACAGAAGAAAATACGATCATCCTCTCCTGAGGGAGTTTCCTATCTACCTTTTGTAGAAGGAATATTTCTCCTAACCTTTTGTTCAGGAATCCTCTCTACCTTTTGTAGAAGTAACATTTTCTCCTAACCTTTTGTTCAGGAATCCTCTCTACCTTTTGTGGAAGGAACATTTTCTCCTAACCTTTTGTTCTGGAGTCCTTTCTGCCGTGACAGAAGGAAATGCGATCGTATTCTCCCAAGGGAGTCTCCTCTGCATAATGTAGAAGGAGTTATTTTGTCTCTAAACCGTTTGTTTTGGAGTCCTATTTACCTTTTGTATAAGGAAATTTTTCTCCTAACCTTTTGTTTTGGAGTCCTCTCTACCTTTTGTATAAGGAATATTTTTCTCCTAACCTTTTGTTCGGGAGTCCTCCTTGCCTTTTGTAAGAGGAAAACCATTTTTCTAGAGTCCTTTCCCCCTTTCGTGGAAGGAATATCTCATAATCTCTCATTTTCCGAGTCCTCTCTACCTTACGTAGAAGGAATATCTCATTACGTTTATTTTTAGAGTCCTCTCTACCTTTCGTAGAAGGAATATCTCGCAGTCTTTTTATTTCAGAGTCCTCTCTATCTTTCGTAGAAGGAATATCTCGCAATCATTTATTTTAGAGTCCTCTCTACCTTTTGTAGAAGGAGTATCTCACAGTCGTTTATTTTCGAGTCCTCTCTATCTTTTGTAGAAGGAACATCTCCTAGCCAATTTTTGATTCCCTATTATGAGACAACTCTTTGACTTTTTGCAGAAGGAGTTTTAGATAACTTGTTTGTAGTATAACTTATCCTCTTGGAATTCTACAGGAGTCCTCCTCTTCCGGTTGGCAAAGCATTCATGTTCATTCCGCATTGCATCTCAAACATATCATCATACCCCCCTTAACCCTTGTTCGCTAACAGACATATTCTTTAAACCATCTCGCTGATCGTCTACTTTCATCCTACACCTCTCCAGTTGAAAATCCCGGGTATTCTAGTATTTAATTCTCTTCTACCATGAATGTTAGAGCACCTTTATCCTCCAGACATTAAGTTCCAACAGGATTAAATAGGGGCAGCTGTCACACCCTCATTTTCACCTTTAGCCTTTATACCCTACATTCACCATATCATACATCGTTCTATTGCATATTGAGCATGTGGGTTCACAAGGTACGGATTGGATCGGTTTGTTATTTTCCATTTTTAAATAAGATAAATTTCCTATCATGGAATACATGGAAGAAAAGGTTCATCACCTAAGGTTTGATCTAAGTTGGAAAGTCTACTCATGTAGATTACTTCAAGAAGAAGTTACTTGAAAATATTGGGATATTCAAGATAAATATTCCTAATGAACATGAAATGCAAGGCCAAATTCAAGTTTGCTTCATCTAATTTTGTTTCAAGTTCTTGGTCAAGTGGAGTTCAAATATGCAAAGCATGAGTCAAGATCACAAGTGCATAATTCAAGACTTCATTCTATATAATGACATAATGGAATCCATCATTCAAAGTTCAAGGTTCATGAATTCAAGACTAGATTCAAAAATATTACAAAGAGAAATTTCATGACATTTGCAAAAGTGTCACATTTGTTACAAAGTTTCAAGCTCTTGGTAATGCTTAGAAAGTTAAGCTACTCCTAGTCTTAATCCAAGATTCTAATTAATTTCATACTATGATCAAGATTATGCATGCTTATTCATGGGCAATATGAATATAATCCAAAACAGTCCCATGCAAGAAGTGGAAATCTGTATCATATCACAAAATCATAGTATGTCACATGACCAAGAAAATGAACCCACAATGATGCACTTACATACTAAATATCATATTTTTCAAAATGCTGTCAAAAGAGTAGTAGCATTGACCACAAGAGCTGTCAAGACACAAGCCAACAAAAGGGGTGCAAGATACAAAGTGCAGCAGAAAAAAAAGACAGCAATGTAGAGGGTTGTAGAAAAAGACAGCATGAGAAAGTAGTGCAGAAAAATGCAACATAGCCATATACATGGAAATGGAAAGAAAGAGACTGACATGAGAAAAGGTGGTAAGAAACATTACCCCATGAAAAAATCTGATGTTTGGGGAGAAGGGAAAACCCTAGAGGGGAGAGATAAGAAGACAAGGGGCTGTAAACAAAGAAATCATTATTCACTCTTCATTCATTCAACATTCTACACACATTGCAAACCAGAAAAATAGAGAGAGCAAGAGAAACCTTAAAAACCAGAAAAAAGAGAGTGATATAGAAGCATAAGAGGACCATTGAGGAACATAATCTTCATAACATAGAGTGAAGAGTGGAGAGCACCTCCAACAAAAATCAGTGGAGGACTTGCAAGAAAGATAGAAAGCTCTTGGGTATCCATTTCAAACCTTTCTCTCTTTACTTTTTGCTTTTATATTCATTTTACCTCCTCTTTTATATGTTGTTGTACTAAGTATACCATGTAAGATTCTAAGGGGACCAAAAAACATTTTTGAGAACTAATAGAAAGGAAAGAAAACCATAAAAGACAGCAAAAAAACAGCAAATATTACATTTTTCGCTTCAGGTCGCGGCGCGAACATGCCAAAATCAGAATGAAAATTTTCCCAGTTCGTGGCGCGAACATGCAAAAATCAGAATGTTCACTTTTCTCAATTCGCGGTGCGAGCACCCTTTGCGGCGCGAACTGATCAGTTTGTTTATGCTTTTTTGCTACTTTTTACCTTAAAAAAGTTTGTCTCGATTTTTTTTAGCCGACTAACCCATATGTTTGTATGGTTTTAGTGTGAATATTGCTATTGTCCTTGTTGACTTTTGATTCAAAAAAAAAACATTTTTCAAAAGCAAACTCTCGATTTTATCGAGCCATTTTCAACCTTGTAAGTCGGCCGCCTTGTGCGTCCGCCATCGACCTTACTCGTATCACCTCAAATACTTTTACAAACACTAAACCTTGATCCAACATCAAGTGATCCTTTTTTTTATAAACAATCCAAAACACAATAAAATATACGATTAGAATTATGCACCATGAACTTTAAAGTGGTGGAGAAGGAATGAGAATGGAGTCCTCCTACACTCATTCTGAATGTCTTGAATACAAGACGCTCGACTTGGTTATTCGAGACATTCATCTCTATCTAAAGTCTTTTGTATAATCCTAGTCAAGAATAAATTCTTCCCTAAGAAAAACCTAAAAATAACATCAACTCATCAAACTATTTTTCGCCTTAGGGCATCAATCCGAAAACCCTTTTTCAAGGTATAAAATCAACCAACAAACAACTATTTCATAAGCCTCCGAACTACGGAGCTCTGATTCTTCACTTCTTTTAAGTGAGGATACGTAGGCACAAGGACCACAATCCTTGGCGAGCATTAAAATAAATAAACCAACCCCTCTTTCTTTAAACAAGAAAACTCTTAATAAAAACACCCATTCACGCCAAATAACCTAGAAGGTTCCCATCGAGTACGATGGATGTGAGAGGGTGCTAACACCTTCCCCTCGCATAACCGACTCTCGAACCCTAAGACTTGGTTGCGATGACCACGCTCTTCTCCCAAAGGTTTTATCTCTATTTCCCTTTCCCTTCTTGGGATAAATAAAATCCGGTGGCGACTCTATGTCATTTTTCGCGTAGCGACAACTATCTCGCATTTCCTTCGCTTTGTGTTCGCACTGTGAAGATGGCAGTTTGGAGAAAAATTGTTTCTTACTTTTATCACAACTTGAGCACCGTAACTCCGATTTAAGCACGATCAGAAGTCGTCGGAAAGCTTATTCAATGCACTGCAAGACAATGTCAAAATATCATTGTTTGAATACCTACAAAAAATGAGATGAAGACAATCAAACTCAAGATATGTACACAATTACACATATTACACACTGTACCATAAATTATATACATTATACACAAAAGTGGGGGATTAATAGTATAAATTAAATGAAACAAGTCAATAAGTGCTAATTATTCACACTAGAATTCACTACAATTTAGCACTTATCAATTATCTTGAGAAGTCTTCATTTGGTTTGTAAGCTCCAGTTTGAAGAAAAAAAATGTCTTTTGGTTTGGAAGACCAGTCAGCAAAAATCTCCACAACGGTTCTTGAGCTCAACCTAATTAAATGCTCTATCTGTTTGAGATCTGTCAGGTATAAAATCTCACTTGGTTTCTGAGTTCAACTTGGTGTAAAAACTCACTAGATTCGATATCAGCTAGGTATAAATATCAATTTGATTCGTGGTTAGTCTGTATAAAACCTGATTCTGATTGAAGGATAGTTAACTCAAAACTCTATCTTGGTTCGAGATCAACCTATATAAAAATTTTGTTTGGTTTGAAGACTAACCATTCTAAGCCTTGTTCGTTGTTTGATTTGGAGACTAACCGCTCTAAGCCTTATTCATTGATTGGAGACTATCCGCTCTAAGCCTTATTCATTGATTGGAGACTATCCGCTCTAAGTTGTATTTACTGTTTAGTTCAAAGTTAGCCTAAGAACTTCATGCCGTTGTGCCGTTGTATTAAGAATTCTAAAAAGAAGAATTCTTAATAAAGAGCGCAAATTGGAATTGTGTTAAATTAGAATCAAATCTGGACTTTGCAAGTTTCACCTTGTGTTAAAATTCTCGAAGTTCTTCCTACTAACTCACATCCTTGGCATTTATCATTCACACTCTTATTAATAATTCCTCGTGTTTCTTTACAAACCATTAATTAATTTATAAATATTCAATAAAAGTCTTGGAATGAACAAGTCTAATTTTTATTTTGATTCAGTCAACAAATCTAATTTAACAAAACACATAGTCTCCAATTTATTCATATTTATACGTAATGTCAATTTCAACTAGCCAGCAAAAGCAGGCTTTGCCGGCAATTTAAGAAAAGAGAAAGCTTCAACTTCAACACTGATAATTAATTTGTATATATAACACTCAAAATGACACTGTTAAAGCAAACTGAAAAAACAAAATGAGACAAGCAGGTGCATATTCAAGTTTACTAAGTGGTGGAATATCAGGAAGAACAGGTCCACATTCATTACCCTTAGCAAGAATAAAGAAGATAATGAAAAACTCTAGTGAAGATGTGAAGATGATATCAGGTGTAGCTCCCATTGTTTTCTCTAAAGCTTGTGAGCTTTTCATTGAAGAGATTACTAGGAGGTCTTGGATTATGGCTATTGATGGTAAAAGAAGAACTTTGAATAAAGAAGATGTTGCTTCTGCTGTTATCGCTACCGATGTTTTCGATTTTTTGATCGCTTTGGTTTCTGATTCTGAGACTGCTTTAGTTGGTTGTGATGAAACTGATGACACTGTCATGCAAATGGAAAATGTTTGAGTTTCTTCGATTATAAATATAAAAATTATTTTACTGTAGAAAAATAATTTAAAGGTATTGTCGATTTTCGCTCTACAATATCAGATTTTAAGTATATAAATATCTGTTTTTGCGTGTCTGTTTATGATTTTAAAATCACTTTTTTTTAAAATTTTAATTTTTCTAATCAACTAAAAATTAGTTTAACGGTGTTTATAATTGAAAACAATTTTTTTTCTATAACCAGATAAAAGTTTCGTTCTTTTGAATCGAAAGCGGTATCTCTAATTTCTATTTTTGTTGTAAATATTAAAGTTAAAACAGAAAATAATTCTGACCAATAAATAATTTCAAATTAATTATAATTTTTACGACTTATTTCGAGCACCGTGAATATAACTTTCCTCACATTCCGAATTTGACAGCATTAGTTGGACGTGATATTAATGTTACTCCTACTGTACTGTAAATATTATTAAAGTGCAATTCCAACATCCTAATAATGATAATAATAAAATAATAGCACGTGCAAGGTAGTATAAAACAAAGTAATGCAAATGCAGTAAAGTAAAATGGAAATTGTTATAACAAAACGTGAATATATTAAAACTGCTCCAAACTAGTATAGAAAAATGTTGGAATAAAAATCCGGAAAAACTATGTTGGCAAAATTAAAGTGCAAACGCTCCAAATATAGACATGCAATATTCAAATTCTAACTGAAACTTGAATTAATTTTTCATTGTAAGAAAGTTAAATAATTTTTTGTTTAAAAATAATTCTAAAAACTTAAATGCAAATTCTAAACTGGAAGTTCCTATATATAATGTTCAATTTTAATTGTATTGTGGTGTTTTGAAACGTGTAGAGAAAGTGAAGAAAATGGTAGAATTGGTTTTGATGAGTCCCTGTGTTAAAAATTTGGCCTTTAACACCATGACAGACGTCATGGTGACGACAACTCGTTCGTCATGGTGCACTTTTCTTCCTTATATAGACGAGCTTGTTGGTAATCGAAATATGAAAGGATTTCGAAAAACGCAGATGATTGTATAATGAGATTTATGGCTCTAATCGCTTTGTCCTCTCTTTAGGGGTCGTAAATGGTCGTTTAATCTATATTTGTTGCTTTTTTTTTCCTTGGACCTTAGGCTCTACTCTATATTGGATTTTTTTGGTCGACCTAGAATAGTTTCCCTCAAACCCTTGTCTTTGTTGCAAAAAAAGGAAATGACTTTGCATTTGGTAGAGTTTGCATGTCGAACAGAGAAAGACAATAACTGATATATGCCTCATACTCTCATGCTCTCATGATTACCCTAATAAGCTATAACGCCATCTCAATGGTCATAAAGAGATATCGACCATTAGTAGTAGAGCACGATTGCGCGATTTTGTTTTGTTTGGGGAAGTTCAATGGCTTTTTTTTAAAGGATTTCATTTTTTTTGCTCTCCCACATTTATGACTTTGTGGAAAGCTTTCTTTTCTGAGTCTTGTTGGCTTGAAAATTCTAGGTGTGTGACCATACTATATTTACGAAGAAGTTTCTTTTGTTAACTTGGTTTGTGTGTGTTGATTTCTTATTCATATATTGAGACTTAGCTTTTGAATTGCCGTCTTCTCTCTTTGTTTTTAGGCTTTCCATGTTCATTTGTGCTCGTTCGTCCAACTAATATTGCGTTGTGTTTAGTCTTTAGCTTTGCAACAATAACCATTTCTTCTATAGCATCTGGTAGTCTTTAACCAGTTTTTAATGTCATTTGTTATCGAATTTTCTATTTTCTCCATCACAAATTTACCCATTGTCTTGGACCCATATTTGGGATTTCCATACATATGTTCTTACTCAAAATAAAACTCTCATGCTTTGGTATTTTGCACCGTGTTTCACATCCACTAAGAGTTTTTGAGACATGCATATGATTTGCATGAAGGAAAAGAAAATAAATTCTTGGGAAGCGATCTGTCACACCTTAATTTTTTACTCTAAGATCCCACATCTTTTTGCATCATTTGTGTTGTTTATCATGTCTTGCATCTTGCATAATACCCAATTTATCAGCTGAATAAACTTTTTGGAATTACAGCCGAATCGGTCAAACTAAAAGTCAATTGTGCGTAAAATCAGTGGCTGAAAATATTTAAAATAGAGCTTGCAAACGTTAGTGATATTAATCTATGTTTCACGCAGTTTAACTTGGCGTGCTCATTTAAATTTTTCGATCACTTTTCGGTCACATTTTTGGACAGTTTAAGTCATTTTAGCAGGTAAAATTTATTTCAAATTTGACCAAACGCGGTATTTTTCTGAATCGTATATTTTACGCTGATAATTTTGGTGTATTCATTTTATTTGTCTAACCACTTCGATACCGGTCCAATTATTCATTTTTTACCGTTTTTATTTCTATTCTTAATTAATATATTTTTTTAATTAATCAGTTTTATTTATTTTTATTAGTTATTATCTTTTCTTATTTTATACTTAATTTTTTAATTATTTAATTTAATTTTATTTATTTTTAATAAACTTATCAAATAAGTCTCATAAAATTTATTTATTTTTTAGAAACTTGTCAAATAAGTCACATAAATTTTATTTATTTCTTAAAAACTTGTCAAATAAGTCTCATAAATTTTATTCATTTTTTAGAAACTTGTCAAATAAGTCTCATAAAATTTATTTATTTATTGGAAACTTCTCAAATAAGTCTCATAAATTTTTTTTATTTTTTTAGAAATTTGTCAAGTAAATTTCTTAAAAGTGATTTGTTTGAGTTCCTATGTACATAACCACTTTCTCATGATTTTCTCCTTCCATATGCTATGTGTTATCACTTTATCACACAAAGCTTACACTATACACTAGCATTACATTTTTAAGACCCCATTTTATGGAAGTTGTTACACACTTTCTACTACTTTTCTCTCTTTAAAACCACATAACGATACTACTTTTTCATACTCCCATCACCCTCACACTTTCACATAAACTAAAAATTCACTATCCACCATATTTTATCATCACTCTTTCATACACAATATCTTTCATGATATGAATAACTCACCTTCATTTTCCCAATAATAAACCACCACCTACATTTTCTTTTTCTTCACGGTACCTCTAAGCTCACATAAAACATCATCTTGCATCTAGACACAATACCCCCTCGTCTAATCTTTATCAGGTTTTTTTTCTTTTACTTTATTTATTTAGTTTATTATTACTATTATTATTACTAATATTTTTTCTCTATTACTAACTTTTTCATGTTTCATTTATTTAATATTATTTTTATTAACTATTAATCATTTTTTAAATATATATATTCATAAAATTTGATTTAAGTTTCGGAAAATAATTGCTTGCCTTTGTTGTAAGGAGTCAATTTATCTTTTATTGTATCATTAATTTATTATTTATTTATTTTGGAATCATATTTGGGAGATAAAAGTGGTGGTCACAAGGTAAAAGATTATTGTTTCTTTTAAATGTCTTTTTTTAGTGATTAGATTAGTTATTTATATCATTTTGTTTTAATTATTTATTTATTTAATTTTTATACTATTTGGAAAGGCAAAAAAGAGACTTTCTATTATTTATCTTTTATTAGTTAATTGTTAAATATTTGAAAATGTAAAAAATATATTTTGTAATTATTAATTAATTTAAATATTTGTATTTAATTTGATTAATTAAATTATTAGTTAATCTTGTTAAATATTTATATTTAAATTGATTAACAATTCTGTTTGTTTACTACACGATGTTTTGTCGTGACTGTTTGTCTTTTTCAAGATGTTTTGTCGTGATTGTTTGTGCATTTTTATTCGCGATGCTTTGCCGCATATCTTTGTTTGTTTATATATGATGTTCTTTCACATATTTGTTACTTTTCTTTTGATCCTTGTGAGCTAATCTGAGGGAAAGGACTGTGTGTTGACTTATTGTCATTGTGCGTGTCCCTTGTTTATTCTTTACTTGTTTTAGTTTTTCTTGGTTCTCAGAACCTGACAACTCGTAGTTCCATGAACTACGGACGCTTTGATTTCTCAAGTTCTCAAGTTACATCATTTTTCAACGTAGTTTCTGAACTACGATTGCTCTGACTTCATATTAAGGATACGTAAGCATAGGATTGTGAGATCCTAGCGAGCTACCTTTGATCTCTCTTTTGCTTAGCTTTAGGCCTTGTTTTTTCTTTGCATTTTTATTTATGGGTTATTCTTTCTTTTTCCCTTCCCTCGGATAAATTAAAGATCGGTGGTGATATTTTATAATTTGTGATTCAAGTTAATACAACAGCTTGATATCCGATTTTCACTGCGACGGAAATGACGACTTCACTGGGGAATATTTAGTGGGTTGAGCCTAACTTGTTTTATTTATGTTGCTATTTTTGTTTGATGTTATACTTGTATATTTGTATATATTTGTACATATATCTGCTTGTGCATGGGTGTTTGTTATATGCAGGGTTGTGACCTTTGAGTGGTGAGATAAGTCCTAACTCAAACATGAATGCACTTATGATAGGATTATGGTATGATCAATAGTTGACGGTTGGGAGTAATCCTAATATGTTTGACATATGATGTAACCACACTCAGTTGAGGCCCCTTTAAGATTACTGATGGCATATGACTAGTCGTACGTTCATTACTTTTCCTGACCTAGGAGTCCGTGAAACTGAGGACCTTTTAATTACCCACTTACCCCACTTGGCCTTTTAGGACGTAGTGCGATGACTGTAAGGGAGTAGTCTCGAATGGTTGATACGCGATACTACACTTAGACGAGTTTATCTTGAGAATATTTTTGACTCACATGAGTAGTCGTGTAAGTTGATAATATCCGAAAGATTTATCTGACTCTAGGAACCTTGTTAGAACCCGTTGTGCAGGTGCTTTACCTCTAGTACACACCCTTTGGTTGGTTTTTTTACCCCGACTCCATGCTGTGATCTTGAACCTTTGATCCTGCTATGTGTGTTTTGCATCCTGTCTTGCATCACATTGC